TCTCTCTCTCTCTCTCTCTCTCTCTGCCACTCATTCTGTATTCAAATCATTCGGGAATTTGAGGTCTGAATCCACACACATAACACACATACATATACAGAATATTCTGTTTTTACTGTTTATAAGCATATTTGCAAAGAATTGTGAGCCGAGAAAAATGCTTATCACATATTTTTGGTGTCTCACGAGTTATTGGTGTGGCATAAGTGTTGAGCCATAACTCCATAACTCTCTATATATCGCATGTCATATAACGAAGAGTGAGAAATAAATTACATTGAACTTAAAATACTTTTTTTATAGTTATATTAAAAGTTTTCGCAATCCTTAATGTATAATTGCGAAATTATTTAATACTATTATTATTAATAAATAGTTATTTTAAGTGCTAAACATGTTTACTGAATAATAAAAAAATTAATATTACTTACGAGAAATATTTCGCAATAAATGTGTTGCGATTGAATTAATGTCTGTATAAAAGGTTTTTGTTGTTGCTTTTGAATTTTTATTGTTTTTCATTTTACCCCTATTTTCACGGCTTATTTAACATTATACGAGAGTTTGCCATAAACTATAGACTGTATATCAATGTAGACTATGGCTGATATTGTGCACGGATTTTACGTGAATTGTGTAAAACTGATATAAATTAACGAATATTTATTTCCTTAATTTTTTCGTTATTATTGATTGAATTCTCGCAATAAAACTAATGGCAAACGTATTGTGTATTAAGTAATAGTCAGACATGAAAATAAATACAGTATATATTAAGTTATCAGAACTAAATCATACGATTAGTTCATATGATAAGAATAATAAGTGATGTCTTAGGAGAAGAGGATATGAGAGTGAGAGAGTGAGTGAGAGAGAGAGAGAGAGCTCTTTTTGACAGCCATAACAGCTTTTCTCTCTCATTTTTCAGTACACGTCAAAGAGGAATATGTGCTTATAATTTGTCACAAATTATTAGTCACTAAAACTCTTCAACCCTATCGTAGTTGGGATTAATAGTCAATAACACGGGTAATACTGTCGCCGATTAGGAGTTACTAATTGTGAGAAATAAAATTAATACACATTGAAGGAAGTGATACATTGTAACAAATACTGTACATAAAGTGTGTTACAGTAAAGTATTGGTATCGTTAGTGTTGGCTCCAACAACAACTAAATTCAGTGATAAATGTTGTGTTAAACACTATACAAACGATGATTGAGTCAATAACAGTATAAATTGTACGACAAATCAAACAGCATATGATTCTCGTCTCAATAAACATAATTCAATTACAACTTTCACTTTCATTTAATCATTCATTCACTAATCCATTCATTTTTTGAATACAAAGAATATTCAATATATATTATAAAGTCTTCTGCTGTCAAACCATTAAAAATAAACAGAATTTAGTGTTTGAAAGACATTTCAATTTCTATTGTATGACAGGAAGAAAACGTGACATTCAATGCAATAATCAATTGGAGATTTTGTACGTCATATACGATATAATAAATTTATATGTCTATGAAATAAATGAGGTCTCAAAGGACTTAAACTCATTTGAATTATACTGAATTGAAATGCATAAAAACATTTTTAATTTTACTAACGATTCCTAAGTTCTGATTTAATTACATGTCGGTTATATAATTAGTTTTGTAATTTGCATCAAAGCTAACTTTATTATAGTTTTATGAATTTGAAAACTTTTTAGTTTTATTATTCAATTGTCTGTGAATTTCACAATAGTCGGCAATCATAAAATTATATCTAATAAATAATTTATTGTTTTGTTTTTAGTACATTTACATGTTTTATAATATAACTAGAATTATATTACAACTTTACGTTTACTTACATTTTAAAATACATTTTATGCTATTTTTTCTTATATTTAATTTATAGGTCATAAAAAATTACTAATTTATTTTCAGATAACTATTTACATTGATGAAAATTATTATTAAATGAAACAAAATAATTTATATAAATATATATTACAAATATTATACTTAAATCCCAACTAAAATCCTAATTAAATCAATTGTTTTGTTTTTTTACAATATTTCTATTAATATAATTATTCAAATTATAGCAGACATCAAGTTATAGCGTATGAAAGGAGAAAATGTAATTATATTTATCGATAAGTCTTATAACAAAAATAAATCAACACATCATTTATATATCTCAGAACCTGATCTGCAAAATAGTCCAATAAAGCAAATTAAATAACACAAAACAAATGGGAAATACGCGCCGACACTTGCAGTCAATCTCGTTGGCCAACTCTTGTGGCGACAGTTTATAGCAAACGCTATCCACGATCTGAACCGCCGATTGAGTCCGCGGTCGCAGAGATATCTTTCTGACGGGACTATTATTGCGATTGAATTCCTCTTTATTATCAGTCATTTGTCTCCTAATATCGATGCCAACCAACGATAGTCTCGGCTTTGAGTCGAGCGCCGGTGTCTTTCGGAGCTCTTCGTCGGGAGAGTTGACGGTATTCTTGCGACGGATCGTCAAATCGGAGAAATCTTTGTTGAGCTGTGAGAATGTGTTAATTGTTTGCGAATATATTGTCTCCAACTGAGGCCTCGACGACGCTTTCATCGACTGATTGTTTGCCTTTATTTCGTTTGCTTTCAAAACGCTTTGTTGTCTCTTTCGCTTCAACTTCTTATTCTTCTTCTTTCTCTTCTCGGTATTGAATATATAGTTAACGCACGCGAACTCAACCAATGAGCCAAATATAAACACTATTTGCCATTTTAAATAACAATAATCTTACGATTAGTTAGTTTATTCATTCAAATAATTAATTATTAATAGAAAAGGTAGTTCTTTTATTTAGGCTACTATTGTAAAGGTTGTAAGGATTTTTGTAATAAATGTTTACTGTATGTCTAGTGAAATAGTATTAAAATTCACCAATATCGAATAACTACAGCTTGGAACACAATAGCCTTTGGTTAATGTCAACCTTTATAACTTGCAAATGTCAGCGTTTAACATTTAGATAGGGCTTAGACATAACAAATAATTGAATTGTTATACAGTATAAGGCTGTATAGTAGAAAACAGATAAATTTATATGGATTATGGGAAATATTAGCAATGGTTAATTTTAATCTGATCTAAACTTTGCATAGGTTATTTAGCCGTATGAATTGAAATTTACGGCTATGTACCGGCAACTAGGTTTTTTGACCTTAGTTCTAGTTTAATTTAGAATAAAATACTAATGTAGATATGCGATGAAATTAAATGTTGTAACAATAACAAGGTATGAGAACGTACCGATGCAGACCATATTCCATATGTCTAATGCATTCCAATAGGAAACTTGTGGTAAATGTGATTTAGTTGTGGTAAAAGTGGTGACCAGTGCTAACATTGTGGTCACACCGATACTGACCCGAGCGGGCGGTGAAGTGATTTCCAGCCAAAACGTGGCCCACGAGGCGATCACGATTATACCGGTGGGCAAATAAAACAGGAACATATAGTGTGCCCACTCTCTGACCAGGGTAAACTTCAAGCTAACTCTGCTGAAAGTATTGTTTTTGCTATAAGTCTGTTCGCCAACACTGGTCTCGTAATCTTCTAAACCAAAGCCAATTGTATGAAAACTATCGGATTTACTGAACGATTTCATTGAATTCCAACGGAGTTTTAGTATAGTTGTCGTCGAAATACTGCTCTCGAGATGTAGTGAACAGATTTGTTGGTCGAATGGAAACAAATGGAAATCCATATTACAGTAAACGCGAAGTAATTTTCTGTTTACACAACCGAATCGATAGGAAAAAGAGAAGAAAAAAAAAGATTTCCGACTGAGAAAGCGCTTAGAAAATAAAACTTTAAATTGTATATAAAATACTAATTTTAAAATAAAGATTATATAAAATTTATATATTGTGTTAAATGTGTTGTAATTATTCTGTAATATATAGTGTAATATGTAGTGTGTGTTTATTAATGGCATAATTTCTTACTAATCAGACAAACACATTGGGTGTCAATCAAAGTGCCTCAAGTCCTGTATTGAAAGTTAAGATTAAGTTTATTGTCCGAAACATTCTTTAAAGTTATAAATAGTGTTATATAATATTACATGTTATATACTTTAATGTTATAATACGATTACTTAATACCACGGCTTTGTATCTTAAGGACTAACATGTCTTTCATATAATGAAGATTTATTTGAAAAACTATTTTTTCTGCACATTTAATGTTTAGGACAATAAATGATTTCACACCAAAAAAGTCAACGACTTTTTAAATGGGAAATAATGTGTATATTTCTAAAAATACCGTTTCCGAAGCCATACCAATCCATTTGATCTGATTTTAAGCAAATTAGCGCTTTGACTGTCATAATCAAAAGATCCCGGGTCTTGATTATTGGGTATAAACACGGATGGATACCAAATACGTTGGATGTGATACTGTCCGCCTTCAATGATGGCCTCGTCTTTGTTTCTGGTGTTGTGTTTGTTTTGAATGGAAAACCTAAGCCTCGGATCAAACCATTCCAAGTCAATGAACAAATGGAAAGTGTATTCCTATTGGAATTCAATGCTATATTTGTTGCGATTCTATAGACATCTATATAAAAATATAGATGTATTGGCAATAAGTATTACAACATAAATACCGAGGTTATCTCATCGACAGTGGCGTAATTGTATAAATCAATGCTAACGTTCACGAATAGAGGGGCTAAAAACCAATTGAGCACAAAAAACAATCAACATTAATCTTTGAGCCCTTTAATAGAGACTGCAATCATTCGTAAGGCAATTGAACCCCAACTCCCTTTGTATTGAGGTTTTTGTCTTACATATTATGTACTAAAACAAAATTAATGTCTTATATGATAACTATTGCATTGGGAATCTATCAACAAATTTATTATTAAATGCAATAGAAATTTAATGCATTATTAAATAAGATATTATCAACGAATATAATATTGAGGATAAATACATGTTTTTAAGTATTGAATAAACTATATGGTATATTATATGTGATAGCCTTAAATAAACCCCTAATGGTTTAGACGAGAGTAAAAACATTTTTGATACAATATTAATATTGTGTTTTACTTAAAATTTATCGGTAAATGCACTTTTGATAAAATATTTAAGACATGGATTATTTTGGGAAAAGTGCGAGTTTTGCACATAATTTAATATTTATGGGTTGTATTGAGTGAACGATGTATTATAGATGATATACACTACACATACTGTACAAACACTAACCGGTAATGTCTGGTGAAGTGTCAACAGTGCCGTCGGGTCGTAGGGTTGCGACGGGCGGTCGGATCCAACTCTTATAATTGATTGGATTTGTTAAGCCATCGAAAGCCAACTGAATGTCTTGATATGAAGGCACACAGAATGCTATATTCGGGCCATTGATATATATCGACACTAAGAATAATGTTTGCATTAAATGATTGATCATAATTGATGGCAATGTTGGGGAACTTATAAATCACTTGTACTTCACTTTATATATATTGTCTGATATTTTCAAAACAGTATTTTTTACACAACTAATGGCATCAATGATGAATTCATTGCATGTCGTAAATGTAATATAAAAACCCTTTTATGCATTTTTTCATTGCATTTTTCTCTCCTTTATATAAAGACAATATTCTTAACATTGTTTTCTCTCAACTAAACGATAAAACAATAAACTTAATGAGAATAATGCCTATTGTGTTATACATGTACAGCTGTACGACCGGCCTGTCTCTCACAATGATCTAGGGTATGGAGTGCGGCAAGAATATCATGATTGATTTATTGTCACTAAACGCAACTCAATAATCGCTTAAATTCTAACATTAATATTAGCCTTATTTCGGGCCAAACAGTAGTGAATTTGATTTATAGATTTGGCGAACATTTTTAAAATTAATTTTTTGCGTTCAGTATTACTGTTTACAAAGCTTAATATCTATGACATTGTGGAGACCCCTGTTATATCACAGATCTATAAAAGTCCAGATTTTTTTTAATCAAATGATATAAAAATTGTTTGAATTGTAGAATTTATTTAAACATCGGTTTTGTCTGCATTTACATTGATTATTGACCAAATTAAATTTATCATAATGTAAAATTCAAATAAATTGAGCTCTCAATTGAATTTGATGTTGATTTGACTAAACAGTACCGCATTTTCATATGTTTATCAAAAGTTTTATGTTAAATCATATTAAAAATACATAAATATTTAGATTTCCATAAATAATATGTTAATAAATGCATTTCTTTACAGTCTTTCTTTATTTAAATTTATGTAAAAATTATTCTAACTTTTTTCGCTAAAGTCTCACAACAGGAATAATTTAAATCTTTATAAACACCTGATTATGATTATTATAAATCATATTTCTTATGTTATTTACTTGAAATGTAATTTATATTAAATAAAGCAAAAGCGCACAGAATTGGTAACAAAACAACTGTTACCGTCGGCTCTCATCATAAGACCCATCGTTTTTACACTCTTTTATAATTCAAATGAAGTTATTATATAAAGAATATATTCTTTTGATATCATGAGTAAACAAAACAAGGAATTCATAAGACCTATGACTTAAACTTTAGATAACATGTATAAGTCATGAGATTTTTAATTTAAAATATATAATTACATTGTGTTTGCCATTGTTTTAGTTGCAAAATATATTTACGACAAATATTGTTTGATATTTTATTTAATAATTTTTGGTAAATGATTAATATTTGTAAATGTTTTGAAATGTTTTGCATTTTTAATTAAATATGAAGTTTATGAACACAATTAATATTATATCCGTTAATAAAATGCCATCATTTCTTTTAACCATCTCTTATCAGATACTAATGTGAATTGAAAAATGTTTTTATCTCTACATTAATAAAAATATTTTATATATTTTATTTTACTTTAACTCAATTTTAGCATTTGTTTAGCTAATGGTTTGCAATGCAGTTATTTGTATTAGAAATCCATTTACCATATTTTTCGGCAATGTTTGCAAATAAAATATATTTTTATTTCAAACGTTATATTCTCATATGAAAACACAAAAAAATCCTAAATAAATAATATAATAAAAAATTATATCTTTATTATGCGGTTAAATATGAAATAGTTTTTAAATAATCATTAAAAGTACCGTAAGTTTATGTTCTGGGAATTCATTATCAGATTATTGTTAGTTAATCTAATATAACAACAAAAAGTAACAAAACTAAATAATTTTAAATTAAATTAAACATTTCAACTTTAACTAAATGCATTAAATATTTAATTAAAACAAATAAACCTAGTTTTATTTTTCAACCCTTATTTACTTTTTAATTTAATTATATAACTAGATTTTTTAATCGTGTACATAATAAAGTTAGAGCTATAAATATACACACTACAATGAAACTATATATCAATTAATACAAAGAAAAATATTAAAAATTAATTAAATAGCTTTGAGGTTAGCGTTAATAATAAAGATCTATATTAACGGTGAATATGGCTTATTATGGCTCACAAACAGTATATAATATACAATATATTGTATTGAAATGTAGTGTCAATTATTATTATCTAATCTCAAGAGAATTATTCTTTACCGTGAATTCTGTGTTCAATAAGACATCTGTTGGCATAGATTCACAACTCAAACAAATAGCGCCACAAATGAATGCAATTCACATAGACTTTAGAGATCACATGCTATTTAATAATTTATTAATAATATTAAATTAATATAAATTATATTTACGTTAAATATTCCTAATTATTATTAACTCAGTTATGAATAACTATAGATTAATAGTAAAAAGACTCACATTTCTTTTTCGCAACTTATCATATAATAATTTCTTGTGATTAATAGTGTTTGAAATGTCCATTAAATGAAACTCAATCTGTTGTTTGGGTCAATAGATGTATCAAAACAATAGCAAACTGTGCGATAATGACCACATATTTTTCAATATACAATATTATATAACATCATCTAATAATAAATTAACTTTGAAGACATTAAGGAGATCATGATCATTTAATTTTCCATTATAATTAAACATTTTAACAAAGAACTTTCCATTAATAATTAAAACATGGTTATTTATAACAAAATCATTTAATCAATATCTTATAAATTATAAAGATCAAAATAAGTAGGATATTAGATTAGTTAATGTTGATTATAGTGAATACAGTCTATCATTAATATACAGTATTTTTTTGGGATCGCAAACATTTGTACTTATATAATAAATTGTCCCAATAATGGGATGAGACTGTATTTGGACATGATAACATTTATCAACAAATAACTAAAATGTTATTTCATTTTTCGGCACTTGTATTGTGAGACAAAAGTCATTAGATTTTATGGCTTATATTTTCGACACTACAATAACAAGAATATATTTTTATACATTTATGAAATTCTGTAGTCAATAACTTGCCCCATAATTTAGACCAAAACATTGTATTTTCTTGTTTACTGTTAAATAAATAACATTATAACTATTGTTCTAATCTTATTATTCCGACCTTGTTGTTATTAAAATGATGTGTAGTTTTCCACTTAGTTTTGAGGTTGTAAGCAAAAATATGGTTATTTTGTGATATAGCACCCCCTTTGATCAATTGGTAATCCCATACAACATTTAAAAATACATTTAAATTTATATTATAATTAAGGCGACAATCAGGTGCTGACGATTTTGTCGTGTGTTTAATATCTATTAAATAATTATATTTTATAATTTTACTGATATTGTAATTTATATACCAAATAAAAGTATTAGTCACACTAAATGATTTTTAATTATTACATTTAATTTAAATAAATAAATTAACTCAACAAAATTACCATACTAAACCAGTATAATTAAAATTTATTTATTTATTTACTGGATTAAAGTTAACAGGAAATATGGTTTAATTTAAATGTTGTTTTAAATAAAGTCTTGAGAAGTTATGAAACAAAATGTTATCGTAAAAGATATTTTGGTAATAAACTAATTAACTTCTGAAATGTTTTACACCAAATCACAAAAAATGTATTGTATTTTCAGGTAAAAAATAAATTGTGTTATAATAACGCAATTGATAATTGTTATAAATAAATAAACTCTAGGTGTAAACTAAAAATTATATTGTTGTCCATAAAAATAATATAAGCAATAAATACAACATTTAGAAAATCTATAAAAGCATCACAAAAATTAAGTTTTAACTTCTAGTTCAATTTAATTTTTAGAAATAAATAGTTGTAACATTTTTAAATAGTAATTTATTTATTAGTAATTAATTTAATTTATAATAAAATACTAACATAATTAGTAAAATAACAAGAATGACACGATCGCGGTCTCAGTCATTTAAAAGTGTGAAAAGCACTAAAAGTATAAGGAGTACAAAGAGTCAAACTCTGTCCATGTCTTCATCCATGAAGAATGCTTACAGCGATATCAAAAAGGACGGATGTGGTATGTTTACAATTTGATTATGGTCAATTTACAAGTTTACATGTCTAAATGTTGCTCATTAGTTATAAATAAAGAGTACACATACATGTGGTAATAACTCGAAAAATATGTAATATATGTGGTAATAAATTTGTCAAAATTGTTGATATTTTGATATAAAAAGGGTTAAAATATTGTATTATGCATAAATTATGATGGAACACACAAATAATACATGATTTATACCGTTTTCCTGATGGAATTCATTTAAAATATTCAGATTTATTTATAAATACCTACTCTAAAATTGTTCATCTGTACTTCGTGATGAAATCTACTTTAGTTTTTTTGAGTTAGTAATTATTCTTATAGAAAAATATGTTTGAAGTGTGATAAAATAAAATATTTAGATTTTTTGCCAGAAATATCATTTTTGAATCAACTATTTTACAAAATTCTTGAAAAATCATACAATTTTCATATATTTTGCCGATTTTTCTCAAATATGGGGAAATATGTGCTAACATCTAAAATATGTAATTATATGTATTTATGTAATAATAAATAGGTCTTAAAATACTCCTTATTATATGATTCGGATAGATGTTTAAGTTAGAGTTTGATATCTCTTACCACAAAAATATGTAAAGTCTACTCTTTACTGTATTAACTTTACTCTTTACCAATTAAACTGATCCGAAATTAATTATACAAAGTTTAGGCGGTATTCCGACCAGATTTGTGGTCGTTTTGGTGGCCGCCATATCCAATACGCTGTCGTACACTATCCGCACTAATATGAGTGTCACTATTGTAGCCATGATTAATGGGACACAACTTCGGGAGATAAACGACAATAATTATACGCATAGTGTTGTCGTCGACCCGTCAGACACCTGTCCCTACAGTAGCGAAGAGCAGAAATCGCAGGACACGGTTCGTACTTTTCATATTATTTAACTGCAATCAACTTATCATGTAATATATCATATCAGATGGGAGCGTTCACCTGGTCAGAATCGATGCAGGGCCACATATTGGGCAGTTTTTATTACGGGTATATTGCCACTAATATTAATGGTAATTAATTTTATATTTAATAAATTATAATCGAAAATTTTAACAAATTATATATTATTTATGCTTAAAGGCGGACAAATGGCCGATAGGTTTGGTGTGAGATATTTATGCGGTTTTGTGACACTTTCATCGGCTATATTGACATGTTTGACGCCAATTGTCTCGTATTGGGATCCCATAGCACTCATTATACTCAGAGTGATTACCGGATTAGCTCAGGTTAGTATTTCAAAATAGAAATAAATTATAAAATAATGTAATAACAACTACGGTAACACATTCAGGGCATATTAACGCCGGCCATCTATGCACTACTGGCCCAATGGATACCCCGTCACGAGCGAGGAGTGGTGTTGGCGCTGATACAAGTGGGCGGCAATTTCGGTGCCGTCATAGCGATGCCTCTGTCGGGCTATCTGTGCAAAAACGGTTTCGCCGGCGGCTGGCCCTCAGTCTTCTACGTGATCGGCATCTGCGGTGTGCTGTGCTTCGCGGTGTGGATGTACTGCGTGTACGACACACCCGCACAACACCCCCGCATATCCGAGTCGGAGCTCAGGTTAATCACGCAAAACATAAACGTGTCGTTTCTCAACGCCGAAAAGGCCCGCAAAAAGGTCATCCCCTGGAAGGCCATCGCCCTGTCGTTGCCGATGTGGGCCATAGCTGTGGCCAAGTTTTGCGGCGCGTGGGGTAACCTTATGCTGATGTCCAAACTGCCCACATATCTCGAGTCCGTACTTCACATGTCCATCGAAATGGTATGTGTTTTCATTGTTTTTGATTTGATTTTGACTGTATTTGTAGTGTTTTTCTGTTGTTTTTATCTCTGATTCCTATCGTTAGATAAGAGATAATTTCAAAATTTTAGTTTCAGTTTCAAAACCTAATGGAAATGTGCTGTCATTACGTGATGGTTATTTTGTTCACGTTAATGATTAGGCAATATTTTCATAATGTACTTAATCTACATATCAGTTAACCATTTCTCACTCCTAATGAAATTATTTGCCTAAAAACAACGCTTCACTTCATATATCAGTTTAAAAGTTATATTTTTAAATGAAGTCCGCGTTTAAAACTATTGACACATTATAATTAATTATAAAATAAAATAATATTTACAATAATTATTTACAAATTATTTACCATTCAATCAGATAAACAAATGTAAAACTGTGTTAAAAGACAGCGTTAATCCCAGATTTAATTATAATGTGACATTTCTCACACTATTAACCTTAAAATACATATTAATTTACAAAATTATTAGTCTTTAGAAATAGTCTAAAAATAATGAGATAATAAGATAGCAATACATTTTCATGGATAATAATATGAATAATTAATATTTAATAATCTATTACATTATATTGTATAATAATTATAATTTATAACCCATACATACTTTTAATATTAAATAAGAACAAATAAATAAGTTACAAAACAATTAACTAAAAAGTTTATATGTTTTCAAAGAATGGGATAATAACAGCCGTAGTGTACATAGCGTTGAGTATATCTCTGACTGCGTGTGGTTTCTTCAGCGATTGGATCGGACAGAAGAGACTCATCGACGACACGCTTTCCCGAAAGATCTTCGAGTCGATAGCATTGGGCGGACCCGCCATATGTCTGGCACTCGTGCCTCTCGTCAAATGCGACCTCACTTTAGTGATTGTCCTTTTGGTGATTGCGATGATTATATTTGGTCTGAACGCAGGCGGCGATAAACCAGTGGTGGTGGACATCGCGCCCGACCACTCGGGCACCATCTATGGCATAACCAACGCCATCGCCAGTTTGCCCGGCATTCTGGCCCCGCTATACGTCGGCTACTTCTTGGAGGGCAGTGTAAGGCGTATTGAAAAACATATTAAATGTATTAAAAGTTATTTATTGTTAAATTTGTTGTCATCTAAAGTACGGAAGTCTTAAGCAGTGGAATATAGTGTTCTACTCGTCCGCCGGTTTCTATCTCTTTGGACTCGTATTCTTCGTGATCTTCGGAACGGCTCGACCGCAGAAGTGGGGCGTAATGGAGGGCCGATCGCGGGGACCGACGTTCGCCAGGTCTCGGGCGCCCACATATGCCTCCAGCTATAAGAACGTGTCGGCGCCGACCACTCCTCGATCCGTACTCAAGACAATCAACTCAACCAATGGTGCCATCACTGGATCGCATCCCAGTGTCTTCTCGATTACGTTCGCCGAAACAAATCCGCAAAACAATGTCAACGGATCTCAAACTGCGGACGAAGTGGTGGACAATGAGTTGAATTACGACGAAGAAGAAGACGAGGAAATTGATTACAACCACTATTTTAAAGAAAGACGTTTCAGTATTTTTCCCATCCCTTAAAAACACATGAATTTTTGCACAGAAATATAGTAATTAATTTTTTATTACACTTTCAAATCATAACTATTAAATAATCATTAGTTCCCATATAATATCTTTTACCCCCTGTGAGCCCCCCTTTTGGTTCCCAACCCAACTAAACCGGGAGAAAAAACCCAAAATAACTTTGCATTTACAGTACAGTATAAGTTATATAATTTAATATAATGTATAAAATGTGTTATGTTTTTACTATTACTAATTAAGTTGGATTTATTGCGGGTTTAACACAATCTGATAATATTTTAAATAATCCCAAAGTTTTCTTGTAAACTTAAACCATTAATGTAATGTATTCTCATTTAATTTATTAAATTCAGTGCTTTATTAGTCAAACAATTTAATTTTGTTTTTAACTTTTTGTTTTTTATATGTATTGCAAAATAAAGTATTAAGATTTATGGATTTAATAATAGGTATAGATAGAGTCTCTATTTTTCGGGAACTCCCGAATAAATTTAGTGTATAAAAACATCGGGAATTACATACCGTTAGGCATATGGGTTAAAATAGGACCAATATATATATAGTTTTTATATTCCCGATTTTTTCATATTTTGAGAAAATTACGAAAAGTCCCGAAAACTCCCGAAAAGTCCCGAATGCTCCCGATTATGAGAAAAATAGTCCCGAAAACGCACTTTTGCCAAGAAAACCCCCTATTATCATCGTTTTTTCTTCAAATATTTTAATGAAATGTTAAATAAATACCAAAAACTGTTATAAAGTTCAAATAATNGAAATGTTAAATAAATACCAAAAACTGTTATAAAGTTCAAATAATGTGTGATAAAGGGAGTATATGAAAGTTAAACTCAAAATATGTGACAATCCATTTCATGTTGTTTTAAAATTATATTTATCTCCGTCGAAGGCGCGCGTTCTTTTTCTCAATTTAAGAATATTATTACTGATAGAAGGCATAAATTTACAGAAGAAAATCTCAAATTTCATGTTATTATAAAATATAATTCATTTTTAAATGCATAATTATTGTTTTAATGTCAAAATTAAGTAAATTTTAACTCCCGATTTTTTCCCGAATTTGACTGTTTTATGTTCCCGAATCCCGCTCGAATTTGGGTGTTTTTACTCCCGAAAAATAGAGACTCTAGGTATAGAGTACTTGATTGCTCGTTAATTTAGAAACATGATAAAATAAATATACAGTGCAGTAGATCTGTGAAATATGTACTTTAACCCGTTAGAAAAATACAAAACAACATATTTCCACGAAACGTTCTCGGTGACTTTCGCACAACCGATAACGTTATATTGCTTTTAAGGTATTTTAGTTCAAACTATATCTGTAACAAAGTCATCGGATTTTGTGTCTTGAGATTAGCTATTATTACGTTAAACCATACAAATAGTCTGTCATGAAATCATAAATATGTTGAGGGGGTTTGTATGCGACAGCCGGGTATTTCATGATAATAAACACATGATATTAATTGGTATAATCAAATGTACTACATACATGTATGATCCTATTTTCTACTTCAAATCATATTATGAAAAAAGTTTACTGTAGGTAAAATACAATCGATTATTTTACCCTATCATTAGCTCTGAAGGATCCTTCATGCTAAAAAACTTAAACGTCATTTAAATAAATTTAAATTATCCAGTAACTATTGTACCTAGATGCTTTTGCACTTGGCTTTCTAGCTAGTTTATTTTATTAGCCACAATGTATGGTAAAATGTCGTAATGTGCTATACTGTAATGTTGTATATTAGTATTGATATTAAAATATGGAAAATTACTTAAAAATATGTTTATAGTCACAGAAATGATAATAATTTTCCGATTTCTTAACAAATATTGTTTCACATAAATCTGTTTATCACACAAAAAATGATTAATAAGTAATTTTTGATTATTTGTTTTATTTTATTATGTTCGTTTAATTACATTAATATATTACAGCAATACTACATCGACAAAATAAAATTTGTTAATTTTAATTTGGTCATGTCAATCTTATAGGTATTATAATAAATGGTCTAGCAGTTATTTGAGGTTATTTTTATTATACAAATATTAATTAAAATTATCTAATTATCAATAGTCTTGAAACCAGACATTTGCTTAAATAAAGTCATTTTCTCACAGAATGTGACATATATTTGACAATTTAAATATCATATTATAATTGATTTAAAGACTTATTATTATTTTGAAACCTTTAAACAACTATTGCTTAATTAATTAATACAGCGATTTTTAAAGTAGTTATATATTATCTCAACATTTATCGATTCTTTGAAGCAATTTGAGGAAATATTGCCTATTATTTGCTCAATATTTGCACAATAATGATAACGATATGTATATGAAGCACAAAAATATTGTAGTGTTACTAATTATGCACTAATTTATATAATAATATATTGATTTTTAACACAATTAAAGTTTTGTTTAAAGAGATAATACAATAAATAAATATAAAAGTGATTAATTTGACAGTTTTGGTACACAAATTGTTAAAAATTTGTATTTTATGGCAACAAATTAATGGAAATTTATTCTAATAAATATTGTAAATTAAATTCAAAGGGAAAATGTTTAAAAACATAAAAACAATAAATTTCAATTGAATATTAATTACACAAAAATAAAAATTAGACAAAATATGCAAAAGTGAAGATCAAGTGATCCAAAGACAAAAAAAAATAAATAAAAATAGATGGGTTTAAAGTTTTATTTTTTACAAAAAAACATCAAAATAAAAGTTAGAGAACTGCGAAACTTCATGAACTGAATCAATAGAATCGGTTTAAATGGAAATTTACAAAAACTTTATAATAAACAACAAAAATATCCAAAGAATTATTCACATTTAGATAATGCGCTTAAAAACATGTCAATAGTCTTTG